AAAATCTATTTTTTTCTGGACAATTCAAGGAATAATTCTAGATCCCAGACATGATTTATGTTTTTTATTTAAAATTGTGTTGTGTCGATGCCAAATACCAGCTAAGCCCACAGAGCTGCTAGCTCAGTGTTTCACCAGGACAGGGTACAGAATAGGAAGATCAAAAGTGAAAAGCTAGTGGTCTGAGATAAAAACAGTTTAATGAGTGAAGGAAAGAGAGAGAATAAAAAAACAAACCAAAGCCATGAAGTGATGCAAAGGCAGTCAGTCACCACTTCCCACAGACTGATGCCCTTGCAGTTTCCAAGCAATAGCCCGTTGCCTGGTAAATCCATCCCAGCCAGACTTAGTACAAAAGTCTGTAGTGCATTGGTCCATAGTGTCCACATCACAGTGTCTGATACTTTTATGAGAACATGCTATATCACTTTTTAAGGGGCCTTTTATCCTGCATCAGTGGATTGCATGTATATTTTATGCCCAACAGTCTTGTGTACATAATCGTATTTCTTGTGGTCAAGGCAATACATTTCTCTATGGCACCTGCTGACCTCTCGCAGCATCCCCGAAAACCAATATATTTCAAGACGTTCATTTAGTCTGCTTTTGATTTTTCAGTCTGATGCAAGTGAGTAGTGACCTTTACCATCTTTTGAGGACTGACATCCTTCATCTAGTCATGTGGCTATTAGAAATGTGCTTACTGACCTACTATCTGATGTGCAACCTCAAATAACCACAATGCATTAACTTGTAAACCAGCAAGAAAGCAGCATCAGAAAAATGATAGTGATGAACAGACTGTGTTATGACTGCTCTCTCTGTTTCTTTTGCCCCACATGTATTTCACTAGATTACTTGTGCTTACCATACATCCTCATATATGTGGAGCCTCCTTCTAAATCGATAGACACTACAACAAAACACAACTAGTATTGTTACTAATGTATACTCATAAAATAAATTTTTCTGCCCCCTTAGAAAGCTAAATTGTGAGAGCGAGATATGTTTCTATGTTCTTATGTTCAGATGCATTTAAATGTATATATTTATAGCTCCCCAAATGCTGATACTGATGTATCATTGAAAGATAATCTGCAATAAATGCAGTTATAAAGCTATGCAACAGATTCCTCATATGTTTACCTTGTGCTTTATATTCTTAATTTAAAGCAGTCTTTTGCATCCTAAAGTGTAATTCTCTATTAAGAAAATGATGCAAATTTAGAAAATAAGTTTGCTTCAGTAGAATTGTATTTTTTCCAATTTCATTTTATGAGGCTAAGTGACCACAGGTCACTTATTTATCACTGGTCACATAGTGATCACTGAGTGCAGAGATTAACCTCCTGTTATTTCAATCTAAGATACAAAGTAAGTGTCACAGAAGTATCAGAGACTATTTATTTCATAATGATGTAGAGTGCTGATATGCATATTAATCCACTGAGCTCATTAGCAACATGTATGGGAGGATGGACATTGATAAATAGTTGCTATTCTGAAGAGAATGACTCATTATTTCTCTCATTGTCTTCATTAGAGCTCCTAGGTATCTATATAATGAAGAACGAGAGGAAAAATCTGTTCCTTCAGGGACAGGCCCCGTGTTTCACGAAAGAGTTGCAATTTATAATTAAAAGTCAGAAAGATTCAAGATGCATATTTTCAGAAATTAATGACTGAAGCACTAGCATTCTGCCATCATCCAGCAAAAGTAATCCCCTTTTGGTGCACACCATTATATTCCCATTTTTAAGACTGGTAGAGATATGTAGTCATAAGAAATTGGAACTTGAACCAAGCCAATCCTGTGATTTTTCTGTTGAAAGACAAAATGCTGTTTGTGTTCACACCGTGTATTTGGCAAAGGTACCCATCATCATCGGATTCTTTTTATCTCTAAAGACAATTTTTGGTGAAAGGATGAAAGCTGAAATGGGATATGAAAGCATTATTCCGGGTCAGTAAGGAGTAAAAATCTGAAGCTCCATCTCTCATAAGTACATAAAAACTTTTTAAAACTCTCATCGCTTAGAGTGGGAGTCCACAGCTTTTCCATGCACTACTTTAACCTCCAGGCTTCTTTGGAAATTGAAATGAGGCAATTAATGAAATGAAGAAATTTTGGGGAGTGGTCTCTACAGCAGATCAAGCAGAGGCAAGGGAGTGAGCAAGTATTAGCCCTGCTTTGGCATCTCTGCTGGAAGCCTCATAAAGGGCTTGCACTTGCAGCTGCTGTTTATCTTCTCAGAAATTAATTTGCCTATGCAGGACTGGAGAGGAGAGGATAAAGACTGATAAACATCCCAAGACATTTGACTTAAAGGAAATGAAAGCATCAGTTTACATTTCCGGTGCTCAGACAGACAGAACCAAGACAGAAAGAATATTTTCAGACTCATTCAAATCTTTGCTTTTTTTTATCTGAAAGAAGGAAGAGCACACATTGAAGGGAGCTCAGAACCTTGATACTGCCAGAAACAAACTTACCTACCATAAAGATGCTGTGAATGCATCCCTGAAAATGACACATCATATCTCTGCTCCTCATTTGCTGCCAGTGAGGCTGAGATAAGTGGTGTCTCCTTTAAGGTACTGAAATATAAGTGCTTCAAAAATTACCTCATTTTTCAAAAGTTTTATTGTTAAGTTTGAAGACTCGACAAGGTCATACTGGTTTTACATCATTCTACATGATTTAAGTATATACAAACCCATTTGAATATAACACAGCTTGAAGGTGTCTCAGATACTTCTGTACTTATTGACACATCAGAAGCCAGCACTGAATACTATAGATCATATTTGTTGTACAGCAAAGATACACTCACTTAGTATCCTTAGTCTTCAAACCTCACACTAATTTGTATGCAGCCATTCCAAAAGAGAAAGTCAACCTCAAAACCAGAGCCATTTTAATGATAAGCCCTGAACAGAACGCAAATAAAATGACACCCTGTGCCAGTGCTTTATTTCCCAACCTATAAACATAGCACAGTACAGAGCTACAGAAAGCTGAAGTTTGCCTACAAATGCTTAACTGTTTCATTTTCAATCTTGTTCAATGCCATTGTTACAACTAATACAGAAGTCAAGGATCATTTCAGTGTTTCTCTACCCCGTCCTAAAGGGACATATCCTGTCCTGCACTTATTCTGGTTTTGGGACGCCAGTTGCTTTCACTGGCAGAGTACAGTTGTGTTACCTGATAACTTGTCCCAGATGTCAATGGTGTTCACCAGGACAAGAAAATAAAATTGAAGGGAAAAGGTTTTCATTCTAGACCATAACCTGATTTTCATTGTTTTGTTAAGTTTGAAGTACTCCACAGAAATCAAGAGTTATTTCAGACTTATACTGCTGACACTGGGAGCAAACTTTGCTGCTATGGCTGCACAATGCCATTTAATTAAATCTTCTTGGTAGCTAGAGGAATAATTTAATTTAGAAAAAGCCCCACTATGCTGGTTGACATTCTAAGGGCATCACATGTATGATTATTCTATAAATTATCAGTGCTATCACGATGTATGGAGCTTTCTCTGCAGGTTGTGAGGACTGCTGACAGATGAAAGTTGACACAGGATATAATGATGAAACCACTCAACACTAAATTAATAAAAACTAAAATTACTATGTTAGGTATCATGGCATCGCTATTTTTATATGCAGATGAATGAAAAACAATTAAATTACTAAACCAAGAAAGATTAATTCAAAACCAAAATTGATGTTACATGATAAACATCACTCAAGAACTAATATTTCAAAACGTGAAAATAAGTTGGTAAGCTAGGGAGCCTAATTTTCTGAAATGGCCTTCCATTTTTTGGGGTATAGTTGACTAATGAAATAGCTACATGCTATTCTTCGTATCTGTAATTAAATTCAGAGTCAGTTGTTCTCCCATAACAGGATATTTGTTTTTGACCTCTTTAAATATTGTGTGTGCACTGAAGATACAAATACTGCTTTTTTAAATTTAATTTTGTTATTTATCTTTTCTTTTGTATAGCCTGAAGTGCAAAACTTGGGCTGTAAGGTGATTTAGGAATACACTTGTCCTCCATTATTCATTTTTTTTCTCTTTAGAAGTACCACCATGACTGACTTTCTCTTTAAAATCACTCACTATGCTTGAAGACCACTCCATATATACATCATTAATGAATGCTGTTAACACGGTTACAGACAAGACAGTAACAGTCTAGTGGCTTTTGTTAAGCAGCACAAAGTAAAAAATAAAGAACTAACTTTGCAGTGTTGCACAGGACCTCAACATTTCTTACACATACTTTTACCTTTACATGACTCTTCTTTATAAGTCTTTAAATGTCTAAGCCTTATAAAATAAATACTTGTATAAATACAGTTTAAGGATTAAATCATTTTATAGAGGCAGGGTGTTCTGTTTCTTAAAATGTGACAGTTTAAGTGACGCTATCAGAAAACCGCCACCAAGATATCCCCAATTCTTGTATGTAAAATTCCTGGCTGCTATTCTGGAGTCATTCACAGTTCAATGGATAACATATTTTGCCTGTGGTGGAGAATGTGCAATTAAATGCAGGTTTTTGAAATCCAAACCATTTTGTTTCCAAAGTAAATTCTGCCCTTTGCAGACTGTGGGCCAACTAATTGTTTGCCTGGGAAGCAGTGCCCGGGTTCGCACTTCAGTATTTCGGTGAGAATGGTAAAGTAACAAAAAATAAGTTCAGTGATATTCACTAAAACATGCAGCTGTATATTTCTTTCTTTCTCCCTACATCAGCATGTTATGAAATCAAAAGGGTGGCAGTAATCCCAAATGCTGTTATTTCAGGTAACAGATAAAGTGTCCCCTCATTCCTTGTCCTGGGATTTTTTTAGACTTGGGTGCTACTCTAACATAGTCACAAAGCACTTTATTTAAAAGAACTTGGAGTGCTCCGCAAAGGTTCATAATGTTACTTCCATCAACAGGGGAAACTGAGACGTGTGGGGGAATGTCCCCCCTACTGCTCCATTTTTCCTACTAAAACCTACTTCTTAAGCTGGGGTCCAATGCTGGCTAGCATAAGCACATAGCCAAACACATAGCATGTATAAAGCATTTCTGTAGATGAGACATGGTAAAAATCAACCCTTTTGTGGCTCACTGGCATATGTATTAAGAGATGTAGTTGGGAGTGAAGGGTGATGAGTGCCCAGCTTTGATGAACTCCTATGGCACCTCTTGCCTTCATGCCTAGGAAGAAGGCTGGGGGCACCACCATAAGAACCCCCAGAGAGGGCTTCCTGGCAGTTAAGGGTGTGATTCCTCCTGTGTGTCTTTTAGTACCTGCTTGCTTCATGTTCACCTCCTCACAGAAACTGAGGAGGTTTCTGAAAAAAGTAATTGGGCAAGCAGGTCTGTCTATGGTTGTGTGCTTAACCCTGGGCAAGTCAGGAAACAGGCTCAGGAATTCTGGTGTTCTGAGTGCCTTTACAAAGGTGGGTTAAGTGTGGGTACTTCAGATGAGATACCACTAGTTCCCTGGTGTCTCATTTCAGCCTCCTTCAAAAAATGCACCTCAAGCAGAATTAATAAACTTTGGCAAATCCGTTAACTTCATAATATACTGATAAGCAGATTATTTTTTTCCATATGCAAACAGTTCACCTCTTTCAAGGAAAAATAATATCAGTGTGGTGTTACAAAACAAAAAAGGTGGAGGTCATGTCTATAAGCATGCAAAACAGAGACGAAACAGGGGGTTAGTCAGGAAAATCCTTTAGGTACACAGACTCTGTTCAGATGAAAGTAATGAAAGCTACCTTGTAATATCACAGGTACTATGTTTTACAGTACCACAGAATACCTTCCAAATATATGTCATAAATACCAACAGTGTTTGATAGGCACAATTACTATAACGCAGTCATCCCCAAGTAAACTTATTGCTAAAAGCTGCAGTATCACTTTTTGCAAGTAAGATGACAGTATGATTTATGGAGAACTTGTCAGCCCAATGATTCTAAAGCTGCAAATGAGCTTTGTCATGCTATTTCTCTTCCCTTGTAAAAAGGATGCTGCTGTTTGTCCTTAAAACGCTTCAACTAGTCAGAACAACTCAAAGGAGAACTAGAAGGATAATTCCACAGCAGAAGGGACAACACTAACATATTTCAAGGACAAAATTGGATTGGATCATTTAAAGAGCAGGCTTAGACCTCCTTGCGAAAGACAGTTAGCAGCCTACCATAAAATGTGCACTTGTTCATGAAAAACCCACTCAGCATCCTACAGGCTTTGCAGAGTTTCTTCTGCGAAGGGACTTGAGCTACACCGAGAGATGCAGAGGTCTGCCTCAGTCCTCCGCTGTGCAGCCCAGCAGCTCTGACCGCAGGGTGATCCTGCCGTACCATGACCACGGAAGGATGCGGATGTGCCGGGCATAGATTGGAGGGTCGATGACGTTCTTACGGTGTGTGTCGTTGTCAAAATTTCCCTGGAACACCTGAAGGGCAAGTAGCAAGAAGATTTAAGACTGTGTGGCTTAAGGAACAAATGTGATACACACCTGATGTTCCCAGGCACCTCTCCATGCCAAATTTTGATCACAGAATCTTTGAACAGTTTGGGTTGGAAGGGACCTTAAAGTTCATCCAGTTCCAACCTCCTGCCACGGCAGGGACACCTTCCACTAGACCAGGTTGCTCCAGGCCCCATCAACTCTGGCCTTGAACACTGCCAGGGATGGGGAAGCCACAGCTTCCTTGGGCAACCTATTCCAATGCCTCATTTTCACGCTAAAGAACTTCTTCCTTATATCTAACCTAAATCTCCCATTTTATGTTTAAAGGCATTACCCCTTGTCCTATCACTATATCCCCTGACTATCTGGGCACACAACTGATGCTGTTAAAAGCACTTGCCTTTGCCAAGGCCTCGGGATTTCACTGCATGCTAGGGACCTCAGAACTAGGTATGAGTGTGGCATGCTCAGTCCTGGTACAGGTTTAGCCTTTGGCTCAAAACTTAACCTGCTGTTCTGCCAACACCCAGGGCTTCATTCTAAAAGTTACATAGAAATCATTAACATTTAAAAAAATCAAATGTCTTTTTACTTAACATTTGCATCACGTTGAATTAATCCCAGGAGATGCTGTTATTGTTTCCAAGAAAATAACATTAATAATTAAAGTTAAGTGGATTTTTTTTTTTGTATCATTTATGAATGCAGCTTGGATGCAACTGTAGAAGGCCTTGTAAAGTTAGTGATTCTCAAGGATGCTATCTTCTTGTGTCAAACAAAAGTAAGCACGTGAACTAAGGGCACCGGTTTGTAACCAGATTAAAAAACCCTAGCACAGTATAGTGCATGTTATGATCTTATTTCCACTAGTAGGTGTTAGCCAGTAGATAACTACGATCCTGAACTTTTGCCTGTGTTAAAACAAGACCAGATTTTCCCCCACTATTTAAACTCAAAGGCCACGTCAACCCCTTTTGGCAAAATGCTCATATTATTCCCTTGGGATATTTTCAGGCTTTTATGGGAAATTTTCATTCTCTTCAAATGTCAGCTAATTCACTTCTCACTTGTAAAAACTGGATTTGATGGCTTCTTGAAAATCGTGACTTTTTGGTCTCTATGCTGCACAATTTCTTTGAATTTTGAAAGCTTCTTCAAGTGCAATCAATTTGGCATCTTGAACAAAGCATGTATCCTCCACAAGTGATGCTTTTCTACAGGTGATAAATTTTCTTTCTTGTCTGGCATCATGCTAACACAGAGGCTGGAGCACTGAAGCAATCAGGAGTTAAGACAGAGAAAATTGCAGACAGGCTGACCACAGAAACAAGTGTTATGAGCCTAAGGAAAAAATGTATTTACCACTGGAAAACATGTTTGTTGCCCAAGTACCGTGTTGATTACATAAATCAACTGGAGCTTGGGCTAAGAAGATTGTGCCTGAATTTGGGTTTTCATCAAGGCAGGAAAACTCATTATTAAAATTACATAGTGGAATCCCCCAAGCTACAATATGCAGTTAGGAAAGGGATATTTTCATTTGATTCCTTGCGCATGCCTGCAATGTATTTCTTGATTTTTACTTTTATTTTATACCAAGCAAGATGATAAGCAATGCAGAACTGCAGACAATTCTTGCTGCAAAACTACTGGAAAATTCTCTTCATCCTTATTTTATTTACCCTACTAAGATGTACTTCAAAGATAACATTTAAATGCAGGCTTAGAATAAGAAACATTGTTTACTAGAAGAACCATTATATAGCCCCAGTACATGTATCTGCACACAGCTACGTGAAATGGATAAACCAACCACCAAACACATCTGAAGAAGGTGGGATTATGCCATTTACTTACAACAGGAAAACAAGAATTAAATTTTATTTCTAATTCCTACATGATTTCGTTAGCACTTGAAGTAAAACTCATCTCCTTCAGAGGTTAATTCAGGCAAATCAGAAATCTACTTTCCCTCAAAATTCAAGATCCAGTTTTAGGAAATTAACTAAATGTCTTAGATCAGAAAAAGGGGTGTGGGGAAATAAAGTTACGAGAAAGTGAGGGAAGCTTTGTGAGCACCCACAAATGTGACCTGCACGAAATACAACATTCTAAGAGCAAATTTTGCTGTGAATCCATGTCAAGTTTCTTATGGGGAAAAATTACATTTTTTGTCACTCTTTGGTTTTGTAGCCTAAGTTGGAGTCAAGAAACTTGGAAAGAGCAGAGAAGACAAGGGATGAAAGCTGTACATCTGACTTACCACTACAAAAGAGCTATTTCTGTAGCTGAAAGTAATTTTTCTTTAATTAAATGCTGCTTTATGCCCAAATAGTCAATACTAAATGAAACACCTAAGCAATTAAAAGTCCTTGAAGAGATGGCACCCTCCTACCATAAATGACCATGCCTCACACTTGTTTCTGAGGAGTTTGTTTCAGTAATCAGCACCTCTGAGCACTGTTATGATTTATTAGCATTCAAGAAGATGATGTTGGAGTTCTGTGTAATTTTTCAGATGAAAAAATGCATAATGACAGTAAACCCCAAGCTGATTAGTGGTCAAGGGATAAAGAGCACAGTGTAAGTTGTTAACATGTCTAGTGCATAATGCCAGTGCATATCATGAGTTCTGGGTGGGTGCAGATCTGGTCCTACCTTATCTCAAACAGCAGATATACAGAGTGAAGCAGCAAGATAGCCACAAGCATGGAAGAATGTCCTTTGAACATTATTAAACAGACTAAGTCTCTTCATCTTGGAAGGACAGAGATGTGGCAAACTGTAAGTACCATGGAGAAAATCAATAGTGAGCAGTATTGCCAAGAGGGGACAAGGAATGAAAACAGGTTTGTCCTGAGCCGCCTTAAAGGCCACAGTGTCCCATACAACACATAACTGAACTGTGGCACAGCTTCTTAGAATCACAGCCTGGTTTGGATTGGAAAGGACCTCATCCAGTTCCAACCCCCTTTCACAGGCAAGGACACCTCCCACTAGACTAAGTTGCTCCAAGCCCCATCCAACCTGGCCTTGAGCACTGCCAGGGATGGGGCAGCCACAGCTTCTCTGGGCAACCTGTGCCAGGACCTCGCCACCCTCACAGGGAAGAACTTCTGCCTAAGAGCTCATCTCAGTCTCCCCTCTGTCAGGTTAAAGCCATTCCCCCTTGTCCTTTTGCTACAGGCCCTTGTCCAAGACAGGTTTCTTGCAGGTATTGGAAAGCTTCTATTCCACAGCCTGTAATTACTGCTAAGGAAGTGTTACAAGTAAAATCAACACTGACTATTAGAGAATCAGGTAGAAGAAAGCAAGACCCTGGGGAACTACACTAGGGAAGAACAACAGACTTACGTGTCTTTCTTCACTAGGCATCTTCTCTAGTCCTCTGCTACATGTAGGGCCATACAGTGGTTATATCTATTTATGTATGTCTGCACTCAAAAAGTGTAACTTACTAAAACATTTACCCAACAGATTCAGCAATTTTACACATGCACGCCTCACGCACATATGTGCCACTCCTCTGTATCTTTAAGCTCTTACAGCTGCTATTAAAAGAAAAACCAGTAGAAAAATTCATGCTGTTCGGCTTTTAAATATGGTAACTTATTTTATGATCAGTTCATGCAAAAGAGAATCAAAACCTGGAAAATGTGAACTGGTATTCCCTGCCAAAAATATGTTTCAAAATATTAGAAAGTCTTCCTTATAATTGTGTCCAACAAGCAATTTTTGGAGCAAGCAATGTTGCTTCAAGCATTCACTACGATTTTTAAATAGGACTGTTTCATGGCATATGCAGCAAATTCAAGTAATGGCAATGTAAGTTGATTTATATTTTAAAAAGAAAACTATTTTATGTTTTACAACATAGTAAGTTATGAGAAACATCTGAAGAATAACCTATTACCACTGCTGTTTGCTTTGCTCCAAACACAGAGCTGGAAATCAGGCTTTAGGGCACATCCACAGGACTCATTAACTGGCAGTTGTAGTAAGATTGTGGTGCTGTGTCACTGGATATGCACAAGGACAAAAATTCAGGAGTCTGATTCTCTACAGAGAATCTTTCTGGATCTCATGTCTCACAGAAACTTTAACTACATGAAAAATCTGCATCAGCCATAGCATTATTGGTTCCTGATATTTGATAATGGCTGAGAGCCGAGACTTTAATAGTCAAGCTTTAGATGGTGAAGTCATTATGTTGTCTGCTGTACCTTAACCATACTTTTTATTTTGAACACGCGATTTCATAGAGCAGCTAATCCTGCTTATATAGAGCTATACCTAGAAACAGTTATACCTGTCTTCTGTTTGGAGTTTGTTTCAATGCAGAACATCTCACTCTTTTGACATATAATTTAAAATCTAAAATTAATCTCAAATCTAAAAAGAAGAAAATTATTTTTGACAGCCATATTCCTTTATCTTGAAAACATTTTATTTCTTTATTACTATTCACTGAAGAAGACTTGCTTAAGCAAACAGAGGTAATTTACAGACTTGGAACAGCCTGTTTACAAGTTTTTGGCTCTTGATGGAGTAAACTTTCACCATGAAGAGTTACAAGTGAACAACGCTAGCTAAAAGACAAGTGAAAGATGCATACTGCATCCTTTTGGAAGATGCTTGCATGGCTAAATAGGGAATTGCTCGGTATGCTCAAGTGGAAGAGGAGAGTTTACAGGTCATGGAAAGAAGGGCTGGTCACTTGGGAAGAATATAAGGCTGCTGCTAGAGGATGTAGGAAAGCTGCTAGGATGGCTAAGGCCTCCTTGGAATTAAAGCTGGCGAGAGGGGTCAAGGACAGCAGAAAGAGCTTTTTCAAATACATGGCAGGTAAAACTAACACCAGAGGCAATGTAGGCCCGCTGATGAACGGGACGGGTGCCCTGGTGACAGAAGATACAGAGATGGCAGAGTTACTGAATGACTTCTTTGTCTCTGTCTACTCTGCTGGAGGCAGTCCTGAAGAG